AGGGGTGCCCTGGTGGCTCAGTCGGTTAAGCTTCCAACTCTTGATCTCAGCTCAGTTCTTATCTCACTGGCCTGAGTTCCAGCCCCACATTGGGCTCCATGCCCAGCATGGAGCCTATTTTAAAAAAATAATAAATAAAATAAAACCTAAAAAAAAAAAAAACATACGACTTTCAAAGATGTGCATTTTTTTAAGAAGTATTTTTTTTTTATACAGATGGTAGTTCACACTAGGTCTTCTTTTTAAAAACACTAAGAAGAAAATTCTGGGTAAAAAAAGATAATGCAGTCACAGAAATACATGCTACTAAAAAACCCAATGATAAACAAAAAATGACATATTTACTAAAATGTTTAAAGCATTTCTTCTAAAAAAATGTTCTTTTTCTAAATTCAAAAGTGGCTGAGCAGAATTACCACAAATTCTGCACAATTAGAAGTTGGTGGGGAGAGAACAAACACCGAAAAGCTCCAAAAAACTATTATGTCCTAAATTAAAGTCTATCCTCTGACTTTTTCTAAATTCAAAAGTGGCTGAGCAGAATTATCACAAATTCTGCACAATTAGAAGCTGGTGGGGAGAGAACAAACACCAAAAAGCTCCTAAAAACTATTATGTCCTAAATTAAAGTCTATCCTATAATAGTAGGAAACTTCAATTTGGGGACACAGTTTTACACCCATTGGTTCAGTATATGAAAACAATGAAAAAAAGAAGAAAACCAGAAGTAAAGATGCAAATGAGCAAGCAAGCTTAAGTGTGCTAATTAGTTTAAGTTCGTAGGTCATCTTAATGAATGACAGAAGTTAAATTTGCCTCTTGAAGAATGTTTTATATAAATTCCGAGGGGGTCATCTGATATCCACTGGTCATCTTTGAGTAAGGCAATGTAAAATATAGGTGATCAATAAATATTCACAGCATTTCACTAAATGTGAGTCTATTCTGGATAACCTATTTTGAAAAAAATGAATCATATAGACTGATATGGGAAAAAAAGGCAAAAGAAAAATTAAATTTCCTTACTACTTGCAGCCCACTGACAAGTCCTTGAAACAGGCAGAGTGACACTCCTTTAGGAACTCAGCTGCCTCAATGTTAATACTTTGCTAAGCACAAAAGAAAATCTTAGCCCGACCCCCCAGGATCCTGTAAGTCTACTTTAACATATAAAAATTCCTTTGGAAATCTCCCTTATCTCTATCCCCAAGATACATGCTGGCAATCATCTTTCCAGGGGTATGATCCACCGATATATATCGAAGAGTCTCATGACTGAGTTTTTACTAAACAGTAATAAATGACCTTTTCCTAACAATAGCTGGCCCCACTTCTAAGTATAAAAAAAGTATAAAATGCGCACTCCTTCTGACCCCAGTGCAGCTCCATGGGTCCTATCCCCGTGCTTGAATAAAACCACCAAGAATCTTTTTTGGCGGTGGGCTTTGAACCCTAACATCTTTCCTACATCATAGAGGATTCAAGCCCCAGATTTCATTAAAATGAGTATCCTTATATCTAAAGTTTATATTGTCTCTTCTAAAGTTTAGTGATTCAAAATGTGGGGTGTCTGTGAAAAAAGAAGTTGAGCTACTCCAACAAGGTCATAGAGCATCTTGTATAAGGTAGTAAGATCATGACATACAGACATAGGCCAAAAATATCTGAAAATGAGGTACCTCCAACTTAGGTCCTGACTTTTCAAAGATGTAAAATTAAAAACAAATCGGAAAAAATTAGTCAACACTTACTCTTTTTTTCACAGAGGTTCAGAGGCCCCACCCCCACCCCAATGCAAATTTTTACCCCTCACACCAAAATGCTGAACTGTTCCTTAGACTTAAAGCCAAAGCCACTGAAGAGCCCTGAAAGATTCAGCTTAAGAAATCTGACAAAGGGAGACGCAGCTCTTTGGAAATACAATGTGATGAAACCCGAAACTCCTGGGCCGGCTTCCACGGGTGATACCTCCACCATATTCTGCCCCTCACCTGCTGTGTAGCCTAGAGGAAGTTAGTTACTCAACCTTTCTCAGCCACACGGACTGTAACGAACCTACTTGGAGCAGCTGTCTGGAAAATGAGAAAGCCACAAAAAAGCACATCCCGCGCTCCCAAGCACGGAGTGCTCATTAAATGTTAGGGACTGTTCCTCCTGGCCCCGTGAAGGGACTTCAGACGCTGGCTCCGAAACAGTGTCCGGAGCGCGCAGCAATTCCAGTTTCTGCACGCTCGCGCTCCGAGCTACGACGAGGGAGGGCGGGGCACAAGCCCGACAAATCGCGACCGGGTTTTCCGAGGCCGGCAGGACCCGCACCCGGGGCTACGGGCCCGGAGGGCCCCGGGCCTGGGATTTCCCTCAAGAAAACCGCGAAGACCCACGTAGAGAAAACAAGCATTTGTGCACGGGCTGGGGAGACAGAACTTGCTCAGAACTCTGTCAGCGGGGAAGGATCCCTGTCTACACCTCTTCACCTGTTTGCCTCCGCGAGCACAGGGACCCCCCGGGACCCCCGGGATCCCCCCCACCCCCGCTCCTCTCTCTCCCTTACCCGGGTCTCCGTACGGAATGGTCTCGGCCCAGGCGCTCGGCTCTTCTTCCTGGATATCCAGGACCCTGTCGATGGACTTCTGGGCCTGGGACAGGGCCTGCTTCGCGAAGCTGGAGAGCTGGGAGGCGTTGAACCAACTCATCTCCCCTCCTGAGCCGGCGGCCGCGGCGACAGCACCAAGTGGGAAGACCGAGGGCCAGGCCGACCGGCCTCAGGCCCGGGGAAGGGTCACAGGAAAGGCCTCGCCCCCTTCCTCACTTGGCGGGCCCTGTCAGCGGCTGGCCATGACCCCGACAGTCTCCCCCGAGCCGGGGATGTTACCCTCAGCCCTGCCCGCACAGCTGAGACCAAAGGCCCCGACTGCGCATGAGCTGGCTTCTTCCACGTACACAACCACCAAATCCGGGAGCCCAGAGTTCCGTCAATAGACGGAAGAACCGGAGGAACGTTGACGTCACATCCGGGACCCGAAGCGTGCCATTAGTTACGAAGAACGCGGAATTATTGCTGTGGATGCTGATTCCAGGCATAGCGCGCAAATTCCTGGCCACCAGAGAAGCTCTGTGGCTACTAGCAGAGGTAGAGTCGTCTGTGTAGGAAACGCACTAGTTTTCACGTGAGTTCCTTCCTAGAAGATAGCTCACGTACTAAAAGCTAGCGCCTAGCCAGCAAGAATTGCAAAGGAAGTTTGGCTCTCGCCTAGTAGCAATTTGTCTCAAGTATTTAATTAGTCCTGTGTTAACGTGGCCTTACGGTGGAACCCTGGGTTTGGGTTTGCCTAAGGATACTGGACATTGTATAAAAAGCCTGATCCAGTCCACCTGATGACGTAGGTAAAAAGGCGTGTCTTTCACAAGCTGTTAAAGGTTAGAACGCGGGTACGGAAGGCACAAGCTCTTCACAATGCAGGGCCAGTCTTGGCCCCGGTCAAAACAAACCCGAGAAACACTAAAACTATTTGTCTATTAATGTGTGTTGTGCACATTATTTAAAATACAACTTTTTCTGCATTCACTCTTCAAACATTTCGCTATTTGAAAAAATCAAATTGCTGGCCTTCCTAATCTGGTCAGTAGCTGTGGGATTTGGACTCCATAGTTTAAACGCAAAATTCCGTCAACATTTAAAATTGGATTCCATACAAAAATACAGATTTCCAGATGATTTTGAAATACATGGATACCAACATGGAAGAGTTAGCTGAGGTCGTTGCCCCTTTGGACAAATAATTTTCACTCCAATTTGCCACAAACCCCACTAATCTTATTAAACCTCTTACTATACCTCCCTGCTGTGATTATTTACATTACTTGCCTCTCCCCTATATTTGAGTACTTTACCCAAGTGTAAGCAACTATGCCATAAAATAATTATTTTTTAATGTTTTAATCAGATTTAAATTCTACCCTTGAGAAGTTATAACCTTCCAATAATTTCATCTAACCAGTAAAAAATCTGCGTTGATATTCTTAATATTTAGTAATTTACACAAATAGATTACCCATGAAATATTAAATGGCTTACAGCTTAAATAAGTAGACTGTGGAGGAGGTTGGGGCAGATTGGGATTGGAATCCCTGTTCCAAGATTTCTAATTGTACAGTTTTGGGTAAATGATGCAAACTTTTTTTAAGATTTATTTATTTTAGAGAGAGATAGCAGGGGGAGGGGCAGAAGGAGAACAGAGAGAGAATCCTCAAGCAGACTCCCCACTGAGCACGGAACCAGACACAGGGCTCAATCCCCGGACCCCGAGTTCATGAACTGAGCCGAAATCGAGAATTTGGTCCCTCAACCGACTGAACCACCCAGGCGCCCCTGATTAAACTTTCTAAAACCTTTTAGCTCTCAGATGGAGATATTATCACCTTCTCACAAGGCCACTTTGAGAATTATTAGAGCACCTGTATAAAGGAGTTGCTAAATGTTAGTTGCTTTATATTAAAAAACTTAAACTGAATCTGTAACTTTTTAAATAAAGCATATCTATGTATCTCATATGACTTTATAATGAAACAAATTATTTGTCAGTTTGGAGCTAGAAAGAAAAATAAATAAAAATTTAACCCAGTAGCATGTAATCACAAGGCTTTTGCGTAGAAAATTGCCATCTAAGTAAAAAACTGAAATACATAATGCAATTTCCCACACTGAGATACTAAAACTAATTTTTCAAAACTTACACTAAAATTTTCTTTTAAGGCTTATTTTTTTAGTGGGAAAAAGGCATTTTAAGAGACTTTAATAATACAAAAAGATTCCACTTCATTACATTATTATGTTTGAGCAAATTAAATCAGAAGATATTTATTGTGGTAAAAGTATTAATTCAGGTACCATAAAAATTTTGTATTAGTAATCCTGCTACACATTTAAAAATTATTCCTATATTACTATGAAACTACTTATTACTATCCTTAATATACTTTAAAAAATTTCAGTGAGAAAAGTTGACAGTATATGATTTTATTAATAAATAGTGTGAAAGCATCAGTGATAACTGCCTGAACATTAAATTCTTCTAAACATCCATATCTTGGCTTTAATATTGTGCATATTGGCCTCTATGGCACAAGTAAACATGAAAATAGTTCCCATTTCCATGCACAGGTATTCAGCTATAACACCATTTACAAATTATTATGGACAAGGTAACCTTTGCAATAATTAATATTCATTTGGACAACCACAATTAAATGAATATTAAATCAAGCAAGAAATAGGCTATGTTCAATATGCTCTAGATGTCAGGGTGTCATATTCAATGTTATTTAAAACTTAATTTTCTTTTTTTCTTTAAAGGGGTACCTTTTCTCTATGTGGGTGCTCACATGAAAACTGAGGAATGCATTCTTTGACCACAGTAACAAAAGTCAGACACAAGAGAGTGCTTGTCCCTCCTCCTCTGAAAGAAGCAATACATTTGCTCATTCTCTCTCTCTCCAGGCATCATTTCCCATATTATTAATGAAAATGCTTACAAGTACCAACTCCAAAATTCTGTCTTCAAGGGGAAGTTACAAATTTAAAAAAGAGTGGTTCATTATATAAAAGAAGCCAAATTCCAGCAACACTAATGCTAAAAATGACATTAAATTTTGTAGCATCCACGTAATATATTTCCATGAGTTTTCTATTATGTGCAGGTTTATTTTCCTTAAGAAGTAAAATGAAGTTTGAATAGTACAGTCTGTGGTGTGGTGACATCAGCAACTGCCAGTTCTTGCCCATCAACGAGTCCCAATTCTAAAACAGAAAAAGTGTAATTAACCCAAGCAAAAAAGTCTCAACAAAAAGCACAACACACGCATACGTATAAAGTTTTATGTCTAGATAAACAGCAAAATCTAGTTCTCTTTAATCAAGGTAATATTATATTGGATTTCTTAGGGATTTTTTAATCTACTAAAAGAACAATTCTATTATTGATTCTAAAAATATAATTACAATTTAAAGGCATTAAACCTAGAATAAGCATTTACTACTTTTACCAAGAGAAAAAAAAAAGAAGAAATTGACTAGCAAATATATTCATTTAAAATACCTTTCAACGTCTTGGAGAGATTTGGCCTTGTTCGTTCTTCAATAGAGGTTACTGACTAGAAAATAAAATTATTTTAATGTAAAGCACATTAAATGAAATTAAACTTATAATTTTGTGGAAAACAAACAAACTAAAAAACAAAAAACAATCAAACACTGATTACCTGTAAGTAAAGTGTTCTATTTTTTCCCTCTAATGTGGCTGTGATGGCTGGAGATTTCATCTGCCTAAATATAATAATGAGAGAGGAAACAAACACAAAAAGATCACTTTTTAAAAACAATTGTTTTTTTAAAGTTTTAAAATCACAAAAGTATTTCTTTTTTTTTTTTTTTTTTTTAAAGATTTTATTTATTTGACAGAGAGAGATAGCAAGAGCAGGAATACAAGCAGGGGGAGTGGAAGAGGGAGAAGCAGGCTTCCTGCTGAGCAGGGAGCCCGATGCGGGGCTTGATCCCAGGACCCTGGGATCATGACCTGAGCCGAAGGCAGACGCTTAACGACTGAGCCACCCAGGCGCCCCCATGGAAGTATTTCTACAACAGAACAAAAGTCCACAACACTTACAGAGAAGCACTATTGGTTAAATAATCCAAAACCTCCTGCAGTTTAGCGGATGGAGAAAACTGAATATTTTGAGGAAGCTGGCTACAAGCTGGGCAGTTTTCCTACATATATAAAACACAACAAATCATAGTGGCACATGAACCAATAATAGTCTATAATGATGAACTGAGAATCAAATTGTTTTATAATCATGCATATTTCCTATGAACAAATTTTTGTTTTAAAATCTCCTAAATTATTATGCTACATAATATTTATTTCAGGCTATAGTGCAAAAGATACACAGTGAGTAGGTTCTAGAAGTTAGAAAATACTTAGGCTGTGGGCAATTTCATTTATATTTCTAACCTGTAATGAATATAAAAAAATCTAAGTATGCGTGATCAAAAAATTTTCATTAGTAATATTACTAACCTTTCTCTCTGCTTCAAATGTGTATGTGTACAGTCCATCTACATCATTGAATACCAAGTAATTATTAAGAGGAATATATGCACTGTAAAGAAAAATGGTTCATCTTTATGTAATTGAGCCAAGTCAAAACATCAATTTATATACATATTAAAAAATGAAATTCATTACCTTGTGGCTATTTTAAAAACCTCAGTGGCACACACAGCTGAAGAGGGGAGAAAATAAAGGTGCTTCAGCTCGATGCAAATTAGACATTTAAAATTTCAAGTTTTTTTAAAAATTAGTTATAGATAAACTTATAAGGCAATTGATTAAAAACAGATAAAGAATATACTCTCAAAAATGAAAAAGTAATAAATTTTATATTTGTTTTGTATAATCCAAGCAAGAGAGTAGCATTACATGCTTTCCTTCCTCTTCTTCAGATTAATGAGCAACCTGTTACCCTGATTAAAAGGAAAGATACTAAAATGTCCCCTTAATGCAGTGCACTTTATGACAGAATGTAAGACAAAATATATACAGATCCAACTGCTTGTTCTTTTTTGGACAGCTTAAAAATTACACCACCCACCTAAGAAGATATCAAATTCCTAGAACACCAGTTTTCTGAAACCAAGTAGCTGCAGAAATGTCAGTTTAGATAGTGAATCAAAAATTAAGGAAAGAAAACAAAGTTAAGTAGTGGCCATTTTTCCTTACCTGCAATGACTGCATTTGTAGAAGCTACTGCAGGAATGATTCGTTTCACTACTCCTGAAAAAAAATATACTGATTAAAATATGGTCATTTATTTTAAAGAATAGGTATCTTAAATTAGAAAATCTGATTATTAAATATCATTTTCCACAACTTGATTTTTCAGGTTTTCAAGTCAGAAAATAAGTTTAACAATGAAATGATCTTCTTTCACATTCCCATCATTTTATGTTCAGAATCTTGAACAAGTTACAATAGCAAAGAAAACTCTTCACTAAGCTTCAAATAAAGATGAGACAATATAATAATAGCTAACAATTAGAATGTTCCAGGCACAGTACGAAGAATAAGTAAGATAGGACAATTTTCATAACACCCTTATTAAGTTTCCTTACTCTGATTTTAAAGATAAGGAAAATGATAATGAGACAAATTAATATCCACAGTTACCTATCTAGTAAGTGATAGGAATGGCATATGAACTACACTCAGTGACGTGTGAATAAAGTATAAAGAATAAGAGTTAACTAATTTTTCTTCATATACTAGTTTCAGCCATTTGATTCCCCTAAATTTACAAGAAACAAAAAACTGCCCCTCATCTTCTCATTTCACTATGTAACATGAACTGTATTAACTGTACTTCTATTTCTACTGCATGTTTTCCATATATCAGTATTCAGAGATTAGGAATGAATAAAGCCCTACCTTACAGCATTTTTTTAAAGTAAAATATAAATATTCCCTAACTGTATTTGAATTGCTCATTTTAGAAAACAAAAACTTCAGGAAAAAGTAGCCATATTATCTTGGGGTGTGGGGGAGCACTTAGAGACGTGTCCCCAAGGCTTCAGGTGTAGGCAGGTTTCAAAAACTTCAGAAAAAAGCCAAATAATCTAAGACATGAAAGGAAGAACTGCAAAAGTTTGGAAAGCTATTTTAAAACATTAATTCTGACTATATGATCACATATAATTTCAGAGAAAGGGAAATAGGGAGGAGCCAACTTCGTAATAGTTAAACCGGAAGCTCTCCAGGGAACCACATAGAGCAAGATGTACTGAAAGGAAGAATAGGTAGTCACAGTGAGGAGCATCAGACATAGTGCCCAATAAGAGCCAAAATGGTAAAGAGTCCTCTCACCCCTACCCCTTAAAAAAGCTGGACTTCACTTCCAATTTTGCTTCTGTACTCCTTGTCAAGGCTCTCAATCATGAGGCTCAAAAGTGCACACCAAACCTTGCTATAAAGTACAGAAAGATGAATGAGACTACATATTGAAATGAGTTTTTAGTTCCTGATCAGGACAAACAGAAATCATTTAATTCAAACAGTTACCACATGTACCCTATATGCCAAACTACTGTTCTAGGTGTTGTGCAGAGTAGCAGTGAAAATAAGCTATTTGCTCTAACAGAGCTTTCCTTCTGCTGAGGGAGATAACATGCAAATGAGTAAAACAATGTCAAATACTGAAGAGTTCTATGAAAAGAAACTAAAACAAGGTATATGGTAGAGTTGGCAACGATGGACAGAGTGGATGATCAGGGAAGACCCTCTCAGGGAGGTGGTAATTGAGCTGAAACCTAAAACCATAAGACCCAGCCATACAATGGCCCGGGGAAAGAGCATTTCTATAAACAGTAAGGGCAAAGGCCCCAAGGAAAGGATGTATGAGAGTGTAAGTATGAAATATTCTTTGCATAGAAAAATGAGGTTACCATTATTTCTGAGAAATTATAAAAACATCGATAGTGAAATGGCTCAGAAGTCATTTTCAGTTGAATGATCAAGTAAACTGGTTAACTTGATACCTGAGCGATAAGCAGCCAGCCTTAACGGGATCCAAGGAAGGACATTCCTGGCGTAAGAATCAGAAGTATTAAAGCTCCAACACGGGATCGAGTTTGGTGTGTTCAAAAACAAAGCAGGTCGGATATAGGGGGAATATAGGGAGCAACAGGGAGTGTATAAGAATAGAATTATTAAATGACATCACTAGAAATCAGAAAGTATGAGGAAATAATCACAGAAAAGAAACGGCACATTTTCAAAAAGACAAAGGGGCGCCTGGGTGGCTCAGTTGGTTGGGCGGCTGCCTTTGGCTCAGGTCATGATCCTGGAGTCCCGGGATCGAGTCCCACATCGGGCTCCCTGCTCAGCAGGGAGTCTGCTTCTCCCTCTGACCCTCTTCCCTCTCGTGCTCTCTATCCCTCATTCTCTCTCTCTCAAATAAATAAAATCTTTAAAAAAAAAAAAAAGACAAAGCTTTTTTTCTGATGAACTCAGTGATAAACTTAGGACAAAAGTCTAGAAAGATGAACTACAAGTACCTAGATTAGGAAACAATGATCACTAGACTAAGCATTATGATTGTTCACTGAGACAAGTCATGTTGGACTCCATTTCTGTGACTAGTAACTTGGCCATGCACGGAAATGTGGAAGATAGTACATCCAGGCTTCAGGAGAGCAGTTAGAAAGGTCTCTTATGATATCCTTTGAACAAGACAAAGAAATAGGAAGTACTCACGAAGGCCTGATCAGGAGAATGAGAGAAACCTAAAAGGGCCTGACCAGAAGTATGATTCAAATGTCTGTTCTCAGGCAGTTCAGTCTTGTTAAAATTTTTAACTAATTATATGGAAAGGAGATAAAGCATGATTATCAAAATAACAAATGAAAAGATGCTGGAAAGAACAGGTAAGTTGCCAGGCATAACAGGGTATATACAAAAGGTTTAAGAATAAACTTGTAAAGACCCATACTTGAGTATAAAAAGACAAAACTACCACCTCAAAAAACTGCCAAACCTATAATGGGAAGATGGGGCTTAGGAACTGCATGTAGAGAGAACTTCTAGATTTCAGTGGACAGTGACCTTAAAGAAACAGAAGTATAGCACCAACATAAACAACAAAGAAACAACAAAAAACCTTGCTCTCCTCTAAGACTGCATCAATTATCAGAAGTCTATTTTAATAATCTCAGCATGCTGCATTCTAGCCTAGATAAGAGAAGTATGGATAACAGGAATATGGCTACAAAAAGAAAAAAAAAAAAAAGGATGGGAACTTAATGTCAGCCAACATGTAAAAGGGTTATAGGAACTAAAAAACTGATGACAGTGATTTGGAGGGAATGTGATTATTGTTCTATGTACATTAAAGGCTATTACTTAAAAGGAAATTTGATTTATATATGATGTACCCTGGGACAATACACAGACCAAACTAAAGATGGAGACTTCTGACAATATACAAAATAATTATCTTAACAGTCTCACCAAATGTGAAATAGATTGCCCCAGGAGGTGACACCTTCCTCTTCAGTGAAAGGTAAAATGAATGGTTTGACTTGGATGACTTAGGGCCTCTTCAATTCTAGTAAGATTCAGTGATTTTATTAAGTTCCTCCTAGGTGGGGTGCCTGGGTGGCTCAGGCAGTTAAGCGTCCGACTCTTGGTTTTGGCTCAAGTTATGATCTCAGGGTTGTGAGACTGAGCCCTGCAATGGACTCTGCACTCAGCATGGTCTGCTTGAGACTCCTTCCTCCTCTGCTCCTCCCCCACCTTACAAGAGCACGTTCTCTCTCTCAAATAAATAAAATCTTAAAAAAAAAAAAATTCCTCCTAGCAAAGTAGTATGGATTCTGTCAAACTCTGTTCCATCCAACCAAATTTAGGACACCTGCAAACTATCATTTCCATGGTACCTTGACTGAATCTCAAATGGCCGGTACTATCTGAAATCACTTATCCATTATTTCCTTCAGAGCATCCCAACCCCTGAAAATGGGATTATCCCAAGGTTATAATTCCTGACAATTCACTACCTTACCTTGAGTGAGTCTATAGGTAACACCCCTAATATTATATTGTGATGCTCTCTCGAGGGACTTTTGGAAAATCCACTGAATATGATCAGGATCATCTCCATCTAATGGAACTCCTTCTGTTAGGAAAAACAAAAAACAAAAAACAAGGAGAGTAAGACAGAAACATGCAAACTTAAATCAACTTGTCTTTTAATGTAATTACACAAATAATATAAATATTTATGTAATAAATATTTACATAAATAAATAAATACAGTCACCGTGAGGAGTATTAATGTAATTATAAACAGTGAGGAGTTTAATATAATTATACAAATGAATAATATAAGTAAATATATATTTATTTACATAAATACATAGTCACAGTGAGTAATTTAATTATGTAAATTACTCTTACATAATTCCAGATTATGAAATTCATTTTATTACCTCCAAAAGGCTGCTCCTTAGGCCACTGCAGTATCCTTACATACTCAATACAGTGTTCTGGTAGCCTGGGCATAGATGCAATGGTGCACATGGGAAAATTAACCTAAAACCACAGTTTGTGCTTTTTAGTGGATTTTAAACAATAAATTATTTTAAAATGTAACTTCTAGTTCGGACTACTTCATAAAAGTAGATGGTAGGTTATAATTCTTCTTGGCTTTCCACTTATAAAAACATTTTATAACACATAATGCTTCTAAAACTAAAAGACAGCATCTGAGTCACTTGACTTATATTCATACAGGAATGTAGGTTTGCGCTACATTTACAGGGTATGTAAATTTAAGCTTTGTTAGATCATAAGAAGTGCTAAGTTCTCAAATCTGAGCATTTTATTATGTTTACATATTTAAATCTGAAGGTATAAAATAAATCAAAGCAAAAGCAAATTCAAAGTTATATCAATTCCAAGTAAATATGAAAAATACTATCTTTATTTATAAATCAAAATTCTAACTATTCCTTAAAGTAGGTATATAGCTTAAAGAGCCTCATTTTTAGAAGGATCATTCTCATCCCTGGTATCTTTATCTCCCTGAATCAATCACAGGCAAAAACCAAAGAAAATAGATTATAGCTCTACCCCAACATGTAAGAGTAATTGATCCCTTGATCCCTCTCTCCAAATGAAAAAATTAATACAATACAATGATATTCAGTTCCTATCTTTCCACAAACAGAGCAGAATTTCATATTTTCTTTCTTAATCTTAGTATGATTTTTAAAATATGGTTACCCCTAATTAAAAATCCTCAATATTAACTAGACTTAATAATTAAGCCTAACTCTACCCCAAGAGACTACAGAACAAATGCAGGTACTTCTTTGATTACCTGTGGAGGATACAATTCTAGTGTACATTCAATACAAGCAGTCATTCCAGGGAGAATCACCCGGGCATTTCCTTTAAAACCTTCTGTACCCCCATCTATCAAAGGGACAATGGAGCTTGGATCTAATACACCATCTTCATAATTCAGAAGAGATATCTAGGAAAATTATTTAAAGGCAAGAGGGGAGTAAGAATTCAAAAAAAGGAACATGCTGTCAAGTAATTTCACAAATCAATTGCACTATTGGGTACTAGATTATCAAACCATGGGATCATTATATTAGCAATTTATATTCTCACTTGAAAATTAATGACTGGCAATATATCATGATGTACATCTACTTAGTTGAAAATTAAATAAACTGATTTGTCAAAAATATGGTATGGCATTTTAATTTTTGGTATGTTAAGAGCAGCAGCAAGAATTTCAAAAAACTGAAACAACACTAAAGTCTTTACCAGCATGCCATTTATCCATCTTCTGGCTATGATAGAGTCCAGTCCACATACTATTATATGAAATTCTATGGAAGAAAAAGCAAGTTTAGCTTTTAAAAATGCCACTGCACAAAATAATTCATTTTCTAAGAAACAACCCCCCCATGTTTTATTATAACACAAACATACACAGCTCCTAATCCTTGAGTAATCGTTACTCAAGACAGCATATAAAAATGCAGCTAATGATGTTGGCTAAGAATTAAAACAGTGGCATTCTCTGTTCAACCTTACTGAAAAGCAAACATCAAGAGATGAAAACAAATGAAGAAATAGCCTTCAAATAGCCAACAACTAAAATATAATAAGAACTTAGTGAGAATTTTAAGTGGACAACTTACGTCGATAGAAAGTGTCATTAAAATCCTGAATCTTGTTGAAATGTCTGAATGTAAGTAAAGGAACTTAAGCTGCTAAGTTTTTAATTTATAAAGGGAATTTAACATGCTATAAGGAACAAATTATAAATGTACACAAGAAATAAATCATCAATGTTCAAAGCAGTGGAATTCAGGGCATGTGACAAAATGAACACAACCCTAATTTGTGACAAAACCCCTTTTCTAAACACTCCTCTACTAACTACTTCGAGTAGTTTCTCTCATCCCTGAACCCCCATATTACATTTATGTCTCTGTTATACTTTCTACTCTGCTTCAGTTTTTATATAAAACCATACATCCTGGGAAAGCAGAGTGTGTGTCCTCAACCATTAGCACCAAGCAAAGGGCAATAATGCATTTTAGTGAAGGAAACAAGCACATTACAATTCCCATTTAGGCAGATGACTACAAGACTCAGAACACACAAATTAACACCTTAGGGTGCCTGGGTGGCTCAGTTGGTTAAGCGACTGCCTTCGGCTCAGGTCATGATCCTGGAGTTCCAGGATCGAGTCCCACATCGGGCTCCCTGCTCAGCAGGGAGTCTGCTTCTCCCTCTGACCCTCTTCCCTCTCGTGCTCTCTCTCATTTGCTCTCTCTCAAATAAATAAAATCTTAAAAAAAAAACAAATTAACACCTTATACACCTTAAATGTATACAATGTTATATATCAAATATTTTCAATTAAAAGTAAGAGTTACTGCTGCAAAGCTAATTTAAAAAAAAAACACGTTTCCAATAGCTTTTTCAGGTACAAATATGATTTGTTATTTTGGGGGTAAGGGGAGGTATGAATTCTTTGCTCCTCTCTCAGTTTTCCAAGTCTCTTTTTACTCTACCAAACCCAATGAGCAGTCTTTCCCTGCCTGGAGGCTGCAAAAAGAACCCCATCAAAAATGGCTGTGGGTGTTAATCAATTATAGCACTTAATATTTTAACAGCACATGTATACAAAAAATTTTAATTTTTCTAATGGAGCAATTTTAATAATATATATACTTCCCCAAAATTATAATAAATAATCCATTATATATTTTAAAAAACCAAAATGGAGAAAAGAGACAATATAAAAATACATTTGTCCTAGATTTTTTTATCCTGGCCTACAAATAAAGCTATAAAAAATAGATTCAATTCTTGCCCTCACCCATTCAGGGTTCTTTTCTTTTTAAATGCTAGGCAAACAGGAGGCATTAGCTGCAACTAGAACAGGAAGGTCAAAAGAGAGCCAGATGCAGCCACTCTGGAAAACAGTATGGAGGTCCCCCAAAAAGTTGAAAATAGAGCTACCCTATGACCCAGCAATTGCACTACTGGGTATTTACCCCAAAGATACAAATGTAGTGATCCGAAGGGGCTCCTGCACCCCAATGTTTACAGCAGTAATGTCCACAATAGCCAAACTATGGAAAGAGCCCAGATGTCCATTGATGGATGAATGGATAAAGATGTGGCACATATTATTTAATGGAATATTACACAGCCATCAAAAATATGAAATCTTACCATTTGCAACGACATGGATAGAACTAGAAGGTATGCTAAGCAAAATAAGTCAATCAGAGAAAGACAATTATCATATGATCCCACTGATATGTGGAATTTAAGAAACAAGACACAGGATCATAGGGGAAGAGAAGAAAAAATGAAACAAGATGAAACCAGAGAGCGAGATAAACCATAAGTGACTCTTAATCATAGGAAACTGAGGTTTGCTGGAGGGATGGAGGGTGGAGGGATGGGGTAACTGAGTGATGGACATTGGGGAGGGGTGTTGTAATGAGCACTGAATATTACATAAGACTGATGAATCACAGACCTATACCCCTGAAACAAGTATTTAAAAAAAGAGAGAGTGAGAACCAGAGCAAACAGGAATAGCAATAAGAGGACCCAGAAGCCACACCAAGAAATTCCACATCCTAGATTTCTATAAAATACCCGAAGTTCACAGATCTAACTTTTAGGGTATGCATGCATATTCTTCTTTTTCTTTCTCCCTATGGAGGCCTGTATTTACCTTTTTAAACATTTATTTTGAAATAATATAGATCCACAGGTTGCAAAGCTAGTATAAAGAGGTCCCATGTGTTTTTTTAAAGGCATGCAGTGTGACATTTTTATTCAACTTATCAAAAACTTTTCATGTGTATGACAACCCTACTACAAAAAAAAATATTTTAAATGCTTTTTTTTTTGGTTGGGTTTTTTTTCTTCTTTTTTATTGTTATGTTAATCACCATACATCATTAGTTTTTTTTAAAGATTTTATTTATTTATTTGAGAGAATGAGAGACAGAGAGAGCGTATGAGAGGGGGGAGGGTCAGAGGGAGAAGCAGACTCCCCGCTGAGCAGGGAGCCCGATGTGGGACTCGATTCCGGGACTCCAAGATCATGACCTGAGCCAAAGGCAGTTGCTTAACTGACTGAGCCACCCAGGCGCCCCACATCATTAGTTTTTGATGTAGTGTTCCATGACTCATTGTTTGTGTATAACATCTAGTGCTCCATGCAGTATGTGCCCTCTTTAATACCCATCACCAGGCTAACCCACCCCCCTACCCCCTTCCCCTCTAGAACCCTGTTTGTTCCCATGTGTTTTTCACCCAGTTTCCCCCAATGGTTACATCTTACAGGACTATAATCTCAAAACCACTAATACAACATTGATAAAACGAGTATGTACAGTTCTGTGATTTAAAAACTTGTGTAGATTTGTATAGCCACCACCACCATCAAGTTACACAACTATTCCATCACAGCAAAGCTCTTCCTCCTGCTACCCCTTTAGAGTCCCACCTCTCTGTCCCCTGACGCCTAATCCCTGGCAATCATTAATTTGTTCTCTGTCTCTAATTTTGTCATTTGAAGAATGTTACATAAATAGAAACATACAACATATGACCTTTTGAGGCTGGCATTTTTCATTCAGCATGTCTTTGATATCACCCAACTTGTTGCATGTTTTGTTAATTCCTTTTTATTGCTTAGCAATACTCCACAGTATGGCTGTACCACAGTTTAATAATTCACCTAGTGACAGATGTTTGGGTTGTTTCCAGTTTTTGGCTAATGCAAATAAAGATGCTATGAACATTCAAGAACAAGTTTTATGCAGACCTAAGTATTTGTTTCTCTGGGGTAATACCCAGGAATGAAACTGCTGAGTTGCATGGAAAGTTTATGTTCAGGTTTTTAAAAAACAGCCTATTTTCCAGATGACTATACCATTTTACATTTCCCACTAGGAATGTATGAGTGATTCAGTTTTTCTGTAGCTTTGACAGGATTTTATATTACTATTACTTTAGCTATTTGAAGTATGTAGTAATATTTCACTGTTGTCATAATTTGGATTTCTCTTATAGTGATGATGAACATCTTCTCATGTGCTTTTTGCTATCTTCTTTAGTGAAATGTCCTTTCACATTCTCTGTCCATTTCCTAATTGCATTGTTTTTTCACTGCTGAATTTTGTGAATTCTTTATTTATTCTGGATGAGTCTTCTGTCAGATACCTACTTCATAAATATATCCCATTCTCATCATTGTATCTCATTCTCTTAACAGGGTCCCTCACAAAGCAAAGATTTTAATTTTGATATAGTTCTATTTATCAATTTTTTTCTTTTATGGATACTTTTTCGATGTGATCTAAGAACTCTTCACCAAGCCCTACATCACAAGTTTTTCTCCTACACTGTCATCCAAAGTTTTAGATTTTATGCTTAATACATATGATGCATTTTGAGTTAATTTTTATAATTTTGAGGTTTGAGTTGGGATTCATATTTTTGCCTATGGCTATCCAATGGCTCCACCACAATTCGTCGAAGAGATTATTATCCTTTCCTCCAATGAACTGTTTTTGCACTTTTGTCAAACATCAACTGGCCATATTTGCCTGTGGTTATTTCTGGTTTCTCTGTTTTACTGATGTATGTCTCTATCTCTGCTAACATCACCCAGTCCTGATTATTGTAGGTATAGTAAGTCTTGAAATTATACAGTGATTCCTCCCACTTTATTCTTCATCCGAATTGTTTTAATTTTTTTTAAGATTTTATTTATTTGAGAGAGAGTGCGTACAAGCGGGCTGGGGTGCCGAGGGAGACGCAGACTCCCCACTGAGCAAGGAGCCCAACGAGGGGGGCTCAATCCCAGGACTCTAAAACCATGACCTGAGCCAAAGGCACATGCTTAACTGACTGAGCCACCCAGGCGCCCCTCAAAATTGTTTGTCCTTCACCTTTCCATATAAATTTTAGAATAATCTATTCTGTATCAACAAAAAATTTTGCAGGGATTTTCACAGAAATTGTATTAAACTTGTATACAAATCTGGGGAGATATGACATCCTTACTATGTCAAATTGCCCAATTCTTGAATACAGAGTATCTTTCCATTTATTTAGACCTTCTTTGATTTCTTTCATCAGCATTTTGCGGTATTTAGCATACAAGTCATATACTTACGTTATTAGATTTACACCTAAATATTTCCCCCTTTTTTGAGCGGTTGTAAATCGCATTCATTGTATTTTAAATTTCATTCTCCACATTTTCACTGCTAGTATACAAAAAATACAACTGATTTTTGTATGTTTATTTTGTATCCTCTGGCATTTCCCAAATAGCAAAGCTCACCTCCTGAATTTCTATAAAACACTGGAAGTTCTCCAGATCTAAAGAACACTTCTTTTTAAAAACATACTTCTTGGAAAAATAAATTTACTCTGATACACGTTCCATTTGGTTAATATATACTGACTGTCTATTCAGTCTGCTACTGTAGGGAGACACAAAGATTAACTATAGCCAAACAAGGAACTTAATAGTCTAACATAAGAGATATGCAATTCAAGCTGAAATTAAGGGCAATAAACAGCACTGGCTGTAAAAGCTTAATTTAAAAATTAGGGCAAAAAGTATTTATATAACCTTAAAGAAAAGACTGGAATGAATATAAAGCAAAATGTCACCAGTAGGTACCAGTAATAAGTTTACTGCTGATTTTTTTTTTTTTGGCTTATCTGTATTTTCTATGTTAAACACGTCTTTTATAATAAAGAAAACACAAAGCTTTAGAAAGTTAAGTAACTTTTTGTCAAAAGGATACGGAACTACATTGCAATTAGGAACTCTGTCATTTAGAAATTCTGCAGCAACTTCAGCCTTAGGTCTTCCAACATCTTTAGGCCTACAGGAAAAATTATATGTAAATTATCATTCATGATATAAATCTAGATGATCTATATAATTTATTTTCAGACATAAAAAATATTCATGGTGAGCTTATTTAGAGGATATTTAGAAGGAACACTTTTATCTAAATATTTTTGATGAGTAATTAGTCATTCAACATCAAACGTCAACGCTTGCTGATGTTCCAAATTAAGTATTTACAAGTACTGACAAGTCTAATTATTTCTTAAATGAAAATAGAAAACAGTGCTTCCCCCCCCCCCCCCCCCCCGTGGAAAGCATAACAATGGCATGCTTCCTGGCCACTTCTCACTGTGGCATTTCCCAATGTAAAATATTATCCCACACACAGAGCCTTCCAAATCTGCCCTGAACCCCAGAACCTCAAGGTGTTACTATGGAGGTCTTGGCTGAAACACACACAGGATTCATTCTGGAGATACAAATACCTTCATTTATCCTCTTCTTCCTGGGTGTGCTGATTAAACAGTAAATTTTATGTCCCAAACGAAGCCATAAGCATGTTTTTGAAGAAGAAATAATGCCAAAGGCATTATCTAAAATTGCAAATGACCTGAACATTCTTAAGAAACTAAAAACAGAAGACCTCAAAACATCATTTCTAGATAAGAACCATAGCTATAGATAGAAAAGGACACAGAAGTCTCTCTTCTAATCTCAGTACAAATGGAATTTTCTTTCATAGTACTTCCTCATTCTCCTCACAAAAGTAAATCACTCCCTCACACATACATAGTAAGTGCTTCATTACTACTTTTTCACAACATTTTTCATTAGCTACAGAGGTCTATCATACCCACTAGACTATGAACACCTGGAAGACAGTAACCATAGTCTTATCTCTTTATATTCCTTCATATATAAGCACAGAATACTTTAAAAATAAATGAAAATTTTTAAAAAAATCAATGTTCCTAATAAAAATTACTTTTTATTTAAAATTGGAATTTTAAAGAAAAATAATTTAACAGGTCGATTTTCTTCTCTCCAATGAAGCAGTGTGCTCCTCTTGATTCAAAGCTTCTGATAAGAGTTTTATTCTGACTTTGTCCTATAACTAGGCTCTAGTTATAAATCAAGGAACCTGATTTCAGTACTGCATTCAACCACTCTGGACAGAGCTCTTTTGGTAAAGGGGATAAAGGAGACTTTCAAGATTCTTTTATGTTGTGGATTATATGTGCTTCCACAGTAGATCCCAAATAAAAAAACTCCTAGATGGTTTCTGTGGAGACTGCTAATTTACCTTTCCAGAATTAGGGGATCAGACTGTTCCACCAAAAAACTGCACTTTGAACAAAAAGGCCTTTTACAGGCATCTTTGCAGGACACCTTGGCCTAATTGCTTAATCTTGAAAACAAGTACCTGCCCTGAGGGCTGCTCTGAGATCAAAGGAGGTAATATGGATAAAGAGTTTAGGAAGTGTTTACTACAACCTAAGCACTCAGCAAATGTTAACTATCATTATGATTTTCAATCATTATTTTAGCTACAAACTAAAGGGTATGGCCTATTATCAAAAACCAATCAACTCAGTGTTATCTTTGTTAAAGCATTCATATACTAAAAATGTGTCAGGATCCACAAAGTTTTCTGTAGCGAAGGGTAATTTTAAGGGTTAAAAAATAAATAAATCAACAAAAAAATAAAACCTAAACATTAAACGTAGAGTTCACATTGCAATTACAATACTTCCTTAATCTGACTTTGTTTATAACCCATCCTTCAGCCTCTTTAATATCTTCCACAAAGAGAGGTTTCATGCCTATCCAAAAATTTAAATTTACCTTCTCTGCTAACCTAACCTTATAATGCATACCTCCAACTATCTGAGCACTTCCTGCTAATAATCTAATCACTAGAGAGAAAAATAAAAAGTCCTTATCTCTCCATATGTATAATTCTTTGACCAATGACACTTATATCTGAGCTTGTCAAATCTCTAAATGCTACATACTAAAATTCACTGATGAACCTCTCCTCCTGGCTACATATATGCCCACCTGCAGTTTGTAAGTCATTTCTAACAACCCATTCCTAGATGCTTTCTATATTTCATGTTTGTCTATGATAATTATCCCTTTATTCCATTTCAACTGCTCCTGGGTTTTCTCTAACTGTCCACTTTTTTTTTTTCTGTAAGAAAGTCCAAACTCTCTCACAACTTCATTGCCCCAGTGTCACCATACAATTCTTGGCTCATAAGTCCCCACCAATATATCTCACTAGGGCCTAATATTCCAGCTACTGTTCTCTTATGAAATCAATAGAAGGAAAAGAGCCCTGCTCCATGTCTTCAGAACACAATTATCCCCCAAATCACATAACCCATTTGGAAATCTCTTTAAACAACAACAACAAAATCATATATTTGTTTATAAAACTAGTTTCACCAGAATGCTCACAATTTTCTTGCAAACTTTTACCTAAAAAGGGAGTGGTAGTCATTTTTAAAATAAAATTAGTGTTACCCTCTCAGTTTTAAAAAAATAATTAAACTACAATGTACTCAAATTCAAGTGATTATCAGAATTTTAAACTAAGATCTTAAAACTTACCTAAATAAAAACTGCCTATTTAGATTGGAAACATCTATAGTGTCCATGTCTATAACATGAATCTGTCTAAAACCAGACAATGCCTGTGGGAATAAAAAAAATCCAATTAAGCAGAAGTTTCCACACATTTGAAATTTTAATATTTGTTTTCAAGGTAGTCCTAAATTTATAAATGCTCAATAATAAATTCTACATAATTGTATTCAACGGTTAAAGAGTCTTACAAAGTATATAAAAGTCAGGGTTCTTGTAAACGTCAAAAATGTGTTAACTACTCAGTCTATAACCAAAAGAGAACAACTCAAAATTTCTACAGTTGTTTTATAATCCCATAAACGCATTTGTAAAGTTTGTTGTTTTGCTGCTGCCGCCAGATGTTTTAATTTTACAAGTCTTACTAATTAACTGAACTTGCTATTCTTTTTCAGAATACTGTTAAGCAATTCCTACAAGTTTTATCTTAGTTTACGTAACATTAAGTATGTCAGGATTCAGAAATAACTATTAGAAGTTGTATATTATGAACACACATATGTACACAGCACATGTAAAAGGAATATCTTAAAAGTATTGAGTCAAGAACAAGCAATCAAAAAAGCTAGGGAAAAGCAACAAACTGTTGCAGTACAACCACTGCTCAAATTTACCAGCAGAAGCAAAAGATTAAAAAAAACAAGCCTCAATAATTAATCATGCTTTTCTGGTCTTGGCCAGTTAAGCAGTCAAATTAAATCAGGTGTCAGTAATTTCCCTACTTTTTGGCCCCTCTTATAGCAAGAGATCCTCCAGAGTTGTCTATACTTGCTTTCTCATATTCCTGTCTCACACATACACTAAACAAGCTTTCATCACTCCCACCACTCTGCAGAAAACTGCTCGTCAAGGTCACCAGTGACTCCCATGTTACTACTTCCAATGACAATTTTCAGTCTCTCTGATCTTACCCACCTGAAGTATCTTTAAAATACATTCTTCACTTGGTCACTACACTCATGAGAAATCTGAACATTAAAAATTGGTTTCCAGTTCACCTCACTCAGGAGTTTTCCTCCTACTTTACTGGCTAGAATTTGGAGTGCCCTTGTGCTTAGTTCTGGTTAGTGCTGGTGATCTCCGACAATCTTATAAGATAAAGCATCATCTAACAGACATCTCAAACTTAACAGTTTCCAAAACCAAACTCAATCATCCTTGCTCACCAACACCACTAAATCTATTCTTTTCCCAATGTCTCCCATTTCAGGGAATGCTAACTCCATCTTTCCAGGTGCTCAGTGGAAAAACCTTGTCGTGTCATCCTTGGCTCCTCTCTCTCTCATGTTCCACAACTAATCCACGAGTGAATCCTGTTAACTCCAACCTCAAAACATATCCATCATCTGACTGCCTCTCACCACCTCCAATGCTACCATCTTGCTCCAAGTCATTGCCACCTCTTGCCTAGATGACAACCTTCCAACCAGCCTCTCAGCTTCCTGCTCTGTTCTTCCTTGAGTCTTTTCTCCGTACATCAGGCACAGTGAACCAGGTTAAAAGTCAGATCAATCAACTCATCTGCTTAAATCTCTCCAAAGACTTCCTGACTCAGAATAAAAGGCAAAGTTTTTACAGTAGCCTCTAAAGCCATTTGTAATATTCACTCTGAGCCCTTCCATCTCCCATTACCTCTCGATATCCTATGGGAAACTGCTCACCCTTGCCCATTTCTGCTTTAGCTATAATAACCTCCTTGCCTCCTAGAACATAAAAACCACACTCCCACTTCACAGATTTTGCACCAGATGTTACCTCTGCCTAGAATATTCTTGCTCACCTCTCTGCTCAAATAGCATCTTTTTGTAAACCACTTCCCTCCCACCAGGCTACCTATCTTCCATTCTTCCTTTCCCCATAGCATTTATTACCATCTGACATACTATGTATTTTATTTGTCTTTTTCCTTCCATAAGCCCCACAAACACCTGTCAGTATTTTTCAATACTGTATCTTTAGCCTTCAAAATGGTGCCCGGCATATGGGGGGAGGTGGTTCTATAACTATTTTCTCAATCAATAATATTAATGTCATATTCTTTTTTCAGAATGAGCCTTTGGGGGGGACCTACAGTCAATTTAAAAAACCATGTACATTTCTCATATATTTATGTCTGAAATAAGCAAAATAACAAGTGGTAAAGCTTTAGTTTTCTTAAGACATTACAATGCAATAAATAACAAGGCCATTCCTAAAGTTGCTTGACGACTATTCCTCAGATCTAATCTCCAATTAATTTACACTTAAAATCACTGTATGTCACATTTGCAAGTAACAGCTTCATAATAGAAAAAGTTAAGCATTAGAGGATTTTTACGTAGAATGCCTACCAAAACCACTACCCATCCTCCATAAATCCTTCCCTTCTAGAACTCTTTGGTACTCCAAGGGTTTTTATGTTTGAGAAAATTCTGTCATTCTGGCACCCCATCCCATAGTATATCATACATAATGCTATTTATTTTGTGTAAGACTTGTCTCTCCAATGAAATTTGAAATTCATTAAGGACATAGACCTTGATGACCTACAATCCCTTCAGAACTGAGCACAGCAGTTAAGTACCAAGAAGCATATTAAGTTTCTGCAGTTACACTAAGAGTGACATTAATATTTTCTTAGCAAAATGAATGTAGCTGTTGACATTTAAACTGCAGCCACAAGGCCAACTTTTTAGGTCCCTCTGGCTATGTGACCTGATTCGCTGTCTAAGGATTTCCTCTAGGATTTCCTATTTTCTACACACCACTGAGAAGGCTGACATACAACACCTTTAAATCAATTCCTCCCCTACCCATTTTTATTAAGTAAACCAATAAAGCCTTATAAAAAGCTATCTGTGGTTATGAAAAGTCAGTAAAACTAGTAAGTCACATATTATGGATTTCAAACCAGTATATAGAAATAGCTTATCTAAAAAGTACCGCCTCTTAAGATGATATTCAGTGAAAACAAACTGACCCAAAAAAAAGCTTAGCTATCCCAAATTTTATGTTTGATTAAGTCATGTAATGACCTAATAGTTCAGTGAAAAGCACACCTAAGAATTAATGACCTGGATTAGGTTCTAGGAATATCACTATTCAGAAAAACTCAGGCAAGTCATTTAACATCTCTAAACCTCAGTTTCTCCCTCTATATAGAATGACACAATATCCTAGCCACCTAATCGGGTTATTTTGAGGAACAGGAGAAATAATTCTTTTTTTAAAATTACATGTTAAAATATGAATTACCAGTTTTGTTATTTACATCACTGAAATTAATGACTGCTATGCAAGAGGAAGCACAAAGATTTGTTTGATAAAGATCAGAGAAGAAAACAAGAATTTTCTATCAATGACTTTATAGTTGAGGACTTTATAGAGCATAAAAAGTTCCATAGTTATATCATTATTTTAATTACTATCTCGAATTTGACCTGCTAAATTTATCTAACAAAGGCTCACAGGAAAAAAGGTTAACAATCATAATAAAGAAATTTCCTAGTACTAGAAAAGGAAAAGAAAAAGCTTTAATTATCACAGAGAAAAAAATACATTTATATATATATATATATATATATTACCAGATTTTTTAGGAGCTCACATCCTAAGCCACCAGCTCCAATGACCAGAACTTTACATGTATCTAACAAAAACTGGAGAGACTGTAAAGAATGAAAAGGCGTATTAAAATCTGGTTGATAATAACCATAAGTACCATCAATAAAGCAATAAGCCATAAAACAGTTTCTGACGTTTCCATGAAAAATGCAATTGAGGATAAAGAGCAGACTTTGTATTTAATAAATTATTTTAAATTTATGAACAAGGTAGAACCAGAATTTCTGTAATCTAATGATTTCAGAGGGTTTCAATTTTAATGTTTTTAAATTGACTTTAATTTTATTGAATTAAAAGGTTATTTCCAACAAGAAAAACTACTATACCTAGTTAATTAAGACTTATCTTTTCTTTAAACTTTGAAAGGGGATGAAAATATCAAATTTATTTAACTGACTTGCTAAAAAGAGAAAAGTATAAAAACCTTAAGAACAGAGGCTCAAGCACCGCACAAGGTGTTTAAAGGTTTTAAGGTAAAAAGGTAAGAAAATAATTGCTGCTTTTGAACACAGTGAGTGAAACTTATAAAACAAGAGATGACAGGAAGAAAAAAAAGAGTAAACTCTTAGAAAATTGTACATCAGCAGAAATACAATTTAAAACAATGATCTAAGAACAGTACCGTAAATTATCTGGCAAAAAAAAAAAAAAAATTCAGAAGCACAAGAAAATATGGTGGAGTATCCAAAGAAACACAAAATACTTTCAATTCTGTCCAAGATTAAAGGAGAGAAGTTAAACTGATGATACAGTGAATGAAACCCAAGAGTCTGTACCTTAATTTTAGGAGTGGCATAATACTGCTATTTCAAAACAACATCTCTTTATAAACACAAGACAGAAGAATTAACTATAAAGAATATATTTTCTACCTTGCAGTAAAAAATAAGTTGTATTTAGTTGAACATTTGCCTTATGTCAAACACTACCAGTCCAAAATTCTATCCCTCTATTATACAGCAGTCATATGATTTTTAACATGCAATTAATTATTTTCAATTCTAGGTAAAGATGCTCATTTCAACTAAATTTCAAAATTTAAGCAAGCACATCTATATTTCTATCAAATTTAATTTCTCATAGTAGGGTTAAAAAGGGGACTGTGTCTCAAAAGTCATTTTAAAACTGTAATTCTCAGTGAAATATAACTTAGAATCTTAAATGAGATTATGAAGTTATTTTACTCTTGAGAATTTTCAACATATTACATGAGAAATGTGAAAATAATGACTCAAATATTTGTCATTCAATTATAATCAGTTGCAAATATTCAATTTAGTATTTTAAGGTAACTTATACAATTGTTAATAGTTTTATTAAAGAGCAAACTAAAGAGAAAGCATTTTATTATTTTTGAAACATAAAACTATTAGAGGAGTTATTTAAAAATAAACATTTCTCACTTCAGTGCTGGGTTCGAAATCAGGGTGTGTGAAGGGTCCAGATCGCTCGAGGAACTTCTTTACATGGTTCCAGCGACCTTCCCAGTCTCCAGTGTCCCCACACCCACCATCAACAGCCATTCTGCACAGAACACAGTAAATTCAGCTGCAAAGATCAGTAGGAAAAAGCCACACCTACAACTATTATGGTTTCCCCAAATGAAAAAGTAACTACACCAAACCTGCTCAAATAAAAAGGGAAACATCAATGTGGTTATGCTTATGCTTTGAACTTTTCTCTTGGCTATTACCTAGTTCATTTAATGTTAAGAACTACACATTTGATGAGATAAATCAGTCTACATGTTTCTGGGATCCTAAAGCACCCCAAGATCAAACTTGGGATATTCTTGGTCAATTGGTGAGAAATGGGCTTCTCCACATTTGGAATTTATAAAAGATCACTGTGAACTTCCCCAGTTTGTTCCAACAACACACTTGGATCAGGAAAAAAAAAAAAAAGAAACTCCACTTTCATAATAGTGAAGCTTCAAATCTAATATAATTCATGTATCCTTTCCAAGTTTGAAAGATGTGATTTAATGATTATTTTTGATGAGAACATTCACACATTTTTCCCTGAAAGAGATCCCAATTTTCAAAAAAGAATCTTTTAACACTATGAGGTGTTGTTTCCACTCAACACAAAAGAAGTTTGGGGTTACAGTTACACTACAGATAGGCACTGCCATCTAAAAACTTTTTAGAACATACAACTGAATAAAGAGGGACTCCTCTAACAAATGTATTTTTTACTCTCTGCAAGATTTATGTTTGGTTGTGATTATTTTTAATTTTCAAATTTCCTGTAACCCACAGTTTCTACCTCCAGATGTATTAGTAATATCCAATTTTTACAAGTATTGCCTAACAATAAAGACCAAAGCATTTGATGTCAAGCTGGGTCTGGTTCCACAACAACATTGTGACCTTGAGCTGATTATTAATGGCTATAAATCTCATATGTTAAGTTGTCTGGAGCTCCGTCTTAAGGTCAGAACAAGGATAAAGAGATAATCCACATAGAGGCCTTAGTACAATACCTGCCATACAGTAAGCATTCAAGCCTTTACTGTCATTTTAAGCAAAGGTGGAAAGGAAATGAAAGGTGGGAAGGAATGTGAAATAAAGCTTGTCATTCCAATCCTTTTGCAACTGAAATTAAACTTTCGGAGGGAGATACATAAAGACTAAAACACGCTACTGGGAACTGGCACAGAAACTACTAACTCACCACACCCACTGCAAGAGTACCTTCTACTCCTCCCATGTAGGGAGAAGAAAAATTATGTGGCGTGGGCCAGGTTAGAAAACAGATTAAATCTGTCTCACCAGCACAAAACTAAACATTTGATAAAAAATAGGGTGTGTAATAAATGGAGAAAATAAACTCTTTGGAGTCAATATCAACCCTTAAGAGCCAACTATGTTGCAAAAATGAAGTGCTTAGTACAAAACCTTACAGATAAAGTTCTCATAAAAAGTTTGCAATAATACTATTGTCTCGTAATAATACTATTACGAAAGGCCAAAAAGGGCCTAGTGTCCGTTTCACGTGTTTAATAAAGATTCCCTTTTCACAAGGTCACGGCTATGACAATTTGGGGTGGAGGGGGGGTGGGGGCTCAAGGGTCCTTCCGCAAGACCTTTGGGTCAAGTACCACCCCGGCGGGCCGGTGCCGGGCCTGCTGCGGTGGACCCCGGGCCCGGCGCCCGCCCGAGATACAGACGAGGAGCGGCCCGCCGGGCCCCTGGGGCTCCGGGATGGGGGTCAGGGGATGAGGCCGCGCGGCCTGCGCTCCGGGTGCCCCCCTCCCAGCCCCCCGGGCCCGCTGCGGCTGGTCCCCTAGGCCTGGGGTGGGGGGAGGCGGGGGTCCCCGGAGAGGGCCCCGGCCTCCCGGCAGCACTAACTTCTCAGCCAGCAGCTCCTCTATTCTCCTTCTTTTCTTCTCCCTAAAAGAAAGAGAGAATAAAAGAAGGGTCAGCATCACGCTACACACCGGGCGCCGCGAGGGGACGGGGCGGGGGGGTGGGGGGACCCCGGGTGGCGGCGGCGACCGCCCACCGCCGCGCTCTCTCACAACCCAGCCCGGCCCCGCACGCCTGCAGATCCAGAGTACTTACGGCTCCTCGCCATCCGCCATATTGTTCCCCGCCTCTTCCCAGGTGCCCCCACGGCGGGCGGGGCGGAGGGGCGGAACGAGGCGAAGGGGCGGGGCCGTCAGGGAGAGTTGGAAAAGGACGGGGAGGAGCGGAAAGGGGCAAAGGGGCGGGGCCAGAGGAAGGGGTGGGGTTGATGGCTTGGAGGCTCCCTTGGGCTTTAAGGCTTTTGCGTGTAAATATAATCTTGATTACACTTCATTACATAAATCTTATCCAGTGTATAAGGTTGCGTGAAAATATACACATAATACATTATACGTTTATACAATTTACGTACTAATTAATAATTATAAAAAATGGTATATTCTGGGCGCCTGGGGTGGCTCAGTTGGTTGAGCGACTGCCTTCGGCTCAGGTCATGATCCTGGAGTCCCGGAATCGAGTCCCACATCGGACTCCCTGCTCAGCAGGGAGTCTGCTTCTCCCTCTGACCCTCTTCCCTCTCGTACTCTCTATCTCTCATTCTCTCTCTCTCTCAAATAAATAAATAAAATCTTTTTAAAAAATGGTATATTCTATGAAAAAAACTCCTTGGAAGAGGCACCCTCGTGCTGCAGAGCGTCTCTCTGAGGCAAAGCATCGGAGTAATTTTCACCTTAAATTTTCAGGAAACATTTTTGCATAAGAGTACGCACTTTAAGAATAAAATCTAAATCAGTTTATAGTGGTGGGATGAAGAGATTATTACTTTCCTCCTTTGTGAATATCAATGGTAATCTTTTAATGTCACATGATTCTGTCAGATAAGTTCAGCAGAAATGGAACTGGATAGAAAAAAACATTTTTTCTGGGGAAAAATATGTATTTAAATAAAAGTATAAAGAAAAAAAGCACAAAAATTAAGGAATAATTTAGAACACCTGTAATCGCATCACCTGAAGATAAATGATTAAATTTGGACTATTTTCACAGTCAGACATAGATGATGGATAGATAGATAGATAGATAGATAGATAGATAGATGTGTTTGTGTGGGGGGGGTGTCTGGATGACTGGATACAAAAGATCATATTCAAAAAAATATATGTATATATGCACATATATATACATATAACCTTTCTTGGAGCCGGAAAAAAATGAGATTTAGAATTAGGAAGAACAGTTTAAATTCTTAACTCTCCACTTACAAACTATAAGAGTCGGGATACTGCTGGGTCTTCATTTGTAAAATATTTGCCTTGTAAGACTGAGAATTGAATGAAATACAGTGGTTCTCAAATTATAATCCCCTGATCAGCCCTATTAGCATCACTTGGGGAATTGTTATAAATGCAAGTTTTCAGGCCCCATCCCCAACCTTCTGCAAAACCCTGGATGATTCTGTGCAAAATAAAGCTTGAGAACCACTGACATGGAGTACGTAAAACCTAATGGGTACTCGGTAAATGTAGCTGCTGTTAATAAATTATGATGTTGTCTCCTCTTTGTCCTTTATTATCCCCCAATCAGGTTTAGTTCAATAGCATTCATTGAGCTGAAAGTCAGTGACAGGCAATAAATGGGAGAAGACAGAGTTCACAGTCCACAGTCTGTAGCAGGAGACACCAGCCACTTTCTTGGGTCACATGTCTCCGTATCAACCCAGAAAACTCTTTTTTTTTTTTTTAATTTTGCCCAGACTACTCTGCAGATAGAAACCACTGAGATTAAGCCCACGCTTTTCAAAACAGACTAGTGTGGGTGGGGCCTCAGCAATGCTACTCTCTGATCAGAGAGGAGACCTTCTGATTAGTGGCAGCAAGCTCCACAGCCCCCTCAGATGATAAAAACCAACAGGTGCCTTGGAGATCATCTAGTCCAAACCTACCCATTTCATAGGGAGGAAGGTGAGGCCTGGGAACAGGGTGCTGCTGGACAATGAAGAGAACTGCAAAGGCATCTAGCCCCTCATCTGTGTGCCTTGGGACTAATACCTAGACTCCTGTGGTGGTGTTTTGGTAGATGACACCAAGGCACTCCCACTGGCTCAGTCAGGCCAATTAGAAATAGCCACCTGCCCTTGCCAGCAATGAAAGTAACAGACATGAAACAGATTTATTTCATTTCAAAGGTAATATATCATAAACTATTAGACTATCCACTATGGTTTGTATACAGACAGGTAAATATTCAGAGTGGGTCTATCTAGAAGCACAAGTGTGGATATAGGAGCTGCAGAAAGGCCAACCCCTGAATGAATAATGACAAAGTGCTGCTACTAATAGCATTTTGAAGAGTACCTGAAATCAAGTAAGGATTCCAGATGTGTCCATTTTTATTTAAAATTATTTTGACAAAGATAGAAATGTGTAGTGGGAAAACAAATTCTCTCATATGCAGCCAGAGAGAGAAGCATGGTTAATACTTCATTAGAGAGGGAGAAGGAAATCATGCTAAATACAGTTATATCTGGCTTTTTTTCATTTCTTTATTTTTAAACCTCGTTGGAGGTTTAAACAAATAAATTCATTTTTTTTTTTAAGTAGGCTCCATTCCCATCATGGAACTAAAGACCCTGAGATTAAGAGTCACGCTCTACCAACTGAGCCAGCCAGGTGCCTCTAAACAAATAAATAAAAATTCACAGAACAAATGTTTACTGGATATCAATTGCCTGTGATCAATGAGGAATCATATTATTACTAACAGACATCTGACAGTTTATGGTCATGCAGTCCTGAGCAATTGGAAGGTTCTTGGTCACAGCTCCTAATGCTCACTGGATCTCTCCAACAGGTGTGGGGTCCTAATGGTGCTGGTATGCTGGTCATGACCAAGATCATTTTCTCAGCTTGCCCACAGTGCTGCTTTTTGAAATTCTTAAGCCCCAGGGAATTCTTCTACACCCTCTAACTTCCTGTAACTGAGCGCTAAGGTCTGGCACATCTCTACCTAGCACTCCTCTTACTGTAATATATTTAAGTTAGCGTTTCCACTGCATTGCAAGATCCCTGAAGGCAGGGCAGGGCTGCATTCTTCTCACCTTTTTTTTTTTTTTTTTTTTATCCCCCAGAGTGCTTTCACAGAGCCTTGAAAGGACTCAAAATATCTGTTGGCATCATACTGAAATCTTCTACCTTTTTGTCCCCTATCAAGCCTACTCAGAGACAACCACAACAATAAAATTGCCACAAGATAGAGAAAAGTCAGTGGATGTTCATTATAAACCACAGAAAACAAATCAGGTTAGCGCACTATTATTAATACCATACAGATGAATCGTGGCCTGTGCTATTATTAGTAACAATAGCAGTAATATCTAACTCTAAGCAATTACTCTACACTATTTGGTCACTGCAGACCATTGTTTGCTTTCTAAGGTGAACAACATCCCATCTCAAGGCTGATGTGACTAGAGTGCCCACTGCATCAGAATAGCACAGTAGTTCAATAATTTTGTCTGGAGAAGACAGAGATGGAGAACAAAAAAAAAAAAGAGAGAGAAGTGAAATAACAAGCCAGCCCTTCCATTCTACACTTCCTTCTTTCCCATTTTGCGAATCTGATTTTACTCATAGTGACTCATGGTGAAACAGAAAACATGAGAATTGCATTCAGATGTGCAGAGGTTAGTAACTACTCAGTTTTCAAAACCAGCTCATCTTCCAGTAACACTACAGTTGCCTTCCATTCCATTTCACTTAGATTAGCAGCTGAACAGCTGCAAAAAATTTCCCTAAAATCCAGAACACATTCTTATGTTGAACACTCAAAAGGGGGTATTTTAAAGGAGGCTGTGTGTATTCGGACTGTCAGGGAAGGCAATGCCATCTTGCTTCACACCGGGGATTTGCGCTCGTTTCTTTCTATTTCATCTCTATTTTGCACTCTTCCCCTTGCTCTGTCGCGAGGCCCCACTTTTTCTGTAACCAACCTCTTAGAGCCAATCAAGAAGTAAAGAAGAGAAAAACGCCCGCCCGCTCCCAATCCCTTCGCTCCGCTGCTCACCAACCGCAGAGCCGGCTGAGCCTGAGCCGCTGTCATCTCTAACCCAGCTTAGCCGATCGGTTGCCTCCGCCGCCGCCGCCAGATTCCAGAGGAGAAGAAAAAGAAGCTGAGAGACTAGACATGGACGTGAATTTCGCCCCGCTCCGCGCCTGGGACGATTTCTTCCCTGGCTCTGACCGCTTCGCCAGGCCGGACTTCAGGGACATTTCCAAATGGAACAACCGCGTGGTGAGCAACCTGCTCTATTATCAGACCAACTACCTGGTGGTGGCTGCCATGATGATTTCCGTTGTGGGGTAAGTGGGGTCCCCCTCCGGGGCACTGATCGAGGGCAGCACCGTGGGGCTCCGGGTGTACATACAGGATCCCGGGATATGGAAACGCCCTCCACGCCCAGCCTTCGCCCCGGCAAGTGCAAGCGGTCAAGCCGGTGGAAACTTGTCAGGGCGAGGCCGCAGCAATCTTGGGGTCCCCTTTTCCTTCCCGTGCCTCGGGCGGAGACGTGAGGGGATTTCCAGGGGTGAGGAAATTTTGCCAGCTTCGGACAAGAAAAACTGACTTTTATTTTTCCTCTGTGCCCTGATTAGGCTCTTGTTGTAGGTATTTGCAGCGCCCCAGTCTTTTATAAAAATAAGAAAGAGCAAAGTGGTGTAACCCTATCCCGGGGCTGGCGGGAAGGGGCGCCGCCCTGGGAGACCTGGGCGACTGGCTATGGATCCGAACTCTGCATTCTGGGGGTTTTAGTATAAAAAGGGCACCCAAGAAGCAACGCGCTTTGTCGGTTTCTCCGCCTAGTGCCCGCCGCACTGTAGGAGGAAGATGAGCTTGGGAACAAGAGGGTGGGTGTTTCCTGGTGTCTCATCTCCCGGTGTGGGGTGAAGGCTGCCCTGACTCTAGGAACCAGGTTCTCTTGCGTTTTCATCCAGGAGTCGTCCGGCGTGGCTACTGTCTCTCCTTCACTTCCTAGCCGGTGGTCTCATCGTATTAAAGGCCTTCTCAATAACAGATCTTAAAATAAAAAGTGTTCTGTGTTACATAGGATTCCACCCGCTTCCGGCACACACACACTTGATTTACCACATTTTCTTGTAGTTTACCCTTTAAGAGATGCTTCTCTCACTTGTGCAGGATGGTGATATTCTAGATCTTGCTGATTCTATGCATCTTTAAGGAAAAAGCCAACCTCAGATTTTATAAAGGAACTCGCTTGCCATTTACAGAGGGAAAGTACAAGCTGGCCTGAGAGAAAGAGGAGAAATCCAAACTTGGAGGGTGTGGGAAAGGCTAAATAGGGTGGTTACTTAGGGTGGTTTGCTGATCTTTGGCTTATTTATTATTGAGTCACTTCTCTGTGCCAAGCTCAAAACAACACCAAGATCAATCAGACATGACTTCTAGCCCAAGGGCATGTGACAATTGTTGAGAAGCTATAGGCCCAGGAACACAGCCCAGAGGAGAGAGTTCACAATTTCCAGATGTGGTTCAGAGTCATTGCCCCCATGTAGAAGAGAACGCTCATTTGTGGGATTCGGTAGACAGTTGCACAGATCCTCATTCTGTGTTGCTTAAGGAATCACAAACTCTGAGAATGACTTGGTGTGTGGAGGGCACAAGCTCTGAGCCGACTCTGAATTAGAGTGGCAGCCAAGTTAAAATTAGTTAGGGTAGGACAGGCCTAAGGCCTGGGGCAGCTGCTTCCTGAGCCTTCCCCTAACCTTATGCTTGAGGCTCATTTCCCAGAACACTAAAACATTTCTTTAAAACGTAATAAATAGTATATAGGATTGCATCTGTTGGTTTCCTTTTTTTCTTTTTTCCCGCTTAGTAAAGAAACAAGCCAGACGTACTATCTGGTGATCTAGATATGAGGCGCTTTTTTTTTGTGGTAACCCTCAAAACTTAAATACTGGACAAGGTTTGACACAGACCAGTCAAATGTTCAGAGAAAACTATTGCTCTTCAAAAAGGGGTACTGCCCAGACCAGACACAGGCTTGGGCAGCCTTGCTGCTTTGATGGAATCCGTTTTTCACTGTGAAGGTCAGGGTCCAGCCCCCTGACTAAATATAGCTCCCTCATTATGGTGACTTAGCCTACTCACTCAGGCAGTTTTGGAGTGTTGGCCCTTCCCATTTTCCTTTTCAAATAAGAAATGTTGGTTGGCAGTGAACTTTTTGATGGTAAAAGTAAAAAATAGCCATCTTTACTTTTTATTATTCTTTTTAAAAATTTACAAAAGACACAGGCCAGCAGTAAATTATTTTGAAAATTGCATGTGTGTAAAATATGATATTTCCTTCTCCTTCATACCCCAGTAAAAATTTGGTATATGACCTTTAACTGTTTTCTCTGCATCCACAAACACACAGTCAGTGATTTTTCCACAAATGACTTTTTTTCTCTATAATCTAATAATAAGAAGAAAGGCAAACATTTATTGAGTATTGAGTGCTCTGTGTGCCAAGTATTTGCTAAGTAATTTATGTGCATTATCTCATTCAACCCAGTGAGATGAGATATTATTATGATTATTACTGTGATTGTTATTATTCCTGAGGCTCAGAGAGTGTAAATGACTTGCTCAAAGTCACAGACGCAGTCTTGTGCTCTAAACAGTGTGCCGTCTTTTACAGTGTGCCATCTTTTTTTTTTTTTAAGATTTTATTTATTTATTTGAGAGAAAGAGAGAGGACGAGCCAGTGCTGGTGGTGGGGGTGCTGGGCAGAGGGAGAGGGAGAACCAGGCTCCTGGCTGAGCAGGGAGCCTAATGCCAGGAGGGGCTCGATCCCAGGAGTCCAGGATCACAACTGGAGCCGAAGGTAGATGTTTAACTGACCGAGCCACCTAAGTGCCCCTAACGTGCCATAATGTGCCATCTTCTTATGAGTCATGAAGTTTAGTCTTTTAAAGCTGGAAGAAACCACATATCTTCAAGGTCAGAGAGCTTAGTTGACTCTGGAACATTTCTCATTCTAAAGAGAACTCTCCTTTCAGTGATGTCAGTAGATGGGTGGGTCAGAGCAGAGTTGGAGGCTGTCTTCTACAGCATCTGATAGTTTACGTATCTTGATAGAGTGTGTGTGAAAATGTGGCCTGGGTGTTTACTGGGGAAGGGACCATGTTCAAAGGGTGTTCTTCAGTGGTTCTGTCCCCTAGTATTGAGGAGGGGCCTGCAGGGCATTGTTGGAGGGCTCTAGCCTCAACTGTGAATTCTCCTGTGTTGAAAACTGGCCTGAGTCAGGATGCAGAAAGCCTGCTCTTCCAGCTCGCAGGAAAGAAGAGGGAAGACCAAGTGGATATCATCTCGCTCCAAAAACAACAGAAAGGGCTGCCTTTCCCAAGATGGAGAGTAAGAGGGTTTAGGATAGAGGTAGATCTGTATCTGAGTGCCTGGCCAGGCAGGGCCTTCTAATCCATGGTTAGAAGTTTGGTCTTCATCCTAAAAGCCTGGTTTACCAGGCATGTGACTTCTACTCAATAGGTCTACTCTGCCTCTTAGATTAATTCTGAGTAAGTCTCTTAGCTAACAGTCCTTGTTGAAAATAGTTGTCATATCTTCTGGCTCTTCAAAGAGTATAAATTAGTGGTTAAGAGTTCAGGCACCAGAGCCACATTAAGTGAATTTTAAATCCCCACTGCCAGTCATTAGCTGTGTAACCTTGGACTTCAGCCACGCCTGTGCCTCAGCCTCCTCATCTATAAATGAGACTAATTATAGAACCTGCCTCCTAGGGCTTCTGTGAGGATTATCCGAGTTACTACAGGCAAGGTTCTTAGACTAGTGTCCAGCTCTTAGTTTTTGCTCCACAAATGTTACTTCTTATTGTGGGTTTTTTTTTTTTTTAATCATTGTTGATGTGAGAAACATAGAGAGCATCTTTATCCCAACAGCTCCATCCACCCAAGCTCCAGTTGCCAACTTACCTACTCCTGCGTCTCCTTCAAGACTCAGCTTTGGTACCGTCTCTTTGAGGAAACATTTTCCCTTTGTCCCTCACTTCCTTGTGTTACTTGGGCCGCACACCTGTGCCTGTGTTTTTTCTGGTAGTCCCCTCACAGGCTTTTAAGTTGTCTGTTTACCTGTCTCCACTCTGGACTATAAATTCCTTGAGGCCAGAGACTGTGGGTTTTGTTTGTGATTGCTTTTTCTTTTTCTTGTCGTGGTTATCATTACTTTTATTTGCTGTATCCCTGAGGCCTGCTATTTGGCAGATGCTCAGTTGGTGAATGCCTAGTAAATAAATGAACAGAAGGCCTCAGTGTAATCACGGGGGCAACTTTTAACCTACCTAATGGAACAAATTATTTTGAAGCCCATAGCAGCACTAGTACATAGCAACAGTGTGCTCCTAAAGTGATTCTAACTGGGTCATTGCTGACTGCAGTTGCTACATATTGGTTAAGATTACTATAGCGTAAAAATTCAATTTAGAAAAGGTTATAATTCAAACTCTTCACTGATTCCTATTGCCCTTGTAGAATTTTGGTGAAATACTCTTCCTGCCAGCTTTCTCAACATCAGTACTATGGACCATTGGGATCATATAATTCTTTGTTGTAGAGGGCTGTCCTGTGTATTGTAGGATATTTAGCAACATCCCTGCTCTCTACCCTCTGAATGCCAGTAGCACCCAGGCCCTCAAAAAAACTGCCTTCAGACATTGCTAAATGTCCCCTGGGGGTCAAAATCACCCCTGGTTGAGAACCACAGCTCTGTTGCTAAAAAAATCATGATAATTTGGTGATCACTTTCACTAAATGCAAGTTAGTTTATAACAAGTTAGAAAAACAGTTCTTGGCAGTTACTTAGCAAAACAATTTGATTTTAGCTCCTGGCTTCTGACTTTTCAAACATTAAGAATGGAGCAGATTTGAAGCTTACATGGCTTTGATCATTATCCTTGATTTATTAAATTTGTTATGCTATCATTCTTTTATTAATCTGCCTGGAAGACTCTACTGATTCCACAAACTCACTTTCTATTTTTTGACAGCATTCTGGCTGTTGCTTTTCTTCGTTTCTGCTTGAAGGTTCATGTGCTCTGGAGTTCCACTACCATAAAATTAGAATTACATGACTTAATTA